TGTATTCATTACAGTATTAGTTTTATGTAAGTCATGAGACTAATCGTGTTACAATGCGCGTACTATGCATATAAAAATAAATTCAGTATTTAGTACAGTTTAGTTACAACTTTTCTTATTTAGAATCATCATTTACTCTATCATTTTAAAAATTGTCCGATTCACTTGACATTGAGTGTCGTTTTGAAAAAACATGGCTAAACAGTTAGATGAATGGAACAGACAAATAGAAGAACTCAAAAACTCATTTAAAATTTACAAATTCGAAAGTTTTAGTAATCTTCAAAAAATTGTAGATGGTGGGTTTGGAACTGTTCGTAAAGCTAAATGGGTTGATTGCGGATTAGATGTTGCCTTAAAGAGACTTAAAGTCGCAGACCCGGATGAAAAGATGGTTAAATCATTCATTAAAGAGGTATGCTTAGTTATTCTTAGTTTTATGGTGAAATTAGATTATAATTCCGATATTATTATAATTAATGAATTATATATCAACAATAGTTTAAAGTTAATCAAAAAGTTGCATCTCATCCGCATATAATACATTTTTACGGGATCGTCGAAGGTATATATTATTATCAGGGATGGCCACGTCACAATGTCCAATTGGCTTCAATTTTTTTTGGACATATATCCAATTGAAATTGGATATATGTCCAAAAAAAATTGAAGCCAATTGGTGCCATCCCTGATTATTATATTTGATTAAACTGTAAAATGAACAGAATTAACATAAATTACTTTGTATAGATTCCGATGGGTATTACAATATGGTCTTGCACTTTGCCAAAGACGGAAACTTGAGAGAATACCTGAAAAAAAACTTTAATACACTCCAATTTGATGATAAATTACGTATTGCAAATGAAATATCACTTGGTCTTGCGTATTTACATAACAATGAAATTGTTCATCGTGACCTCGTAAGTCTTATTCACAATTTAAATGGGTTCGACATTGTAATAAGTATTTTATTTTATTAATTTATTTATTTATAGCATTCCAAAAATATCTTGGTTAACGAAGGACAAATGAAGATTGCGGATTTTGGTTTAGCCAGAGAAACCAGTGAGCAGCTAACTTCAAACGCAAGTACATCTGTCGCTCATGGCATGCCTGCTTATATAGAACCTAAATGTTTTAACAATCCAAGGTACAAACGTGACAAGAAATCTGATATTTATAGTCTTGGAGTAATTTTCTGGGAAATTTCAAGCGGAAAACAACCATTCGAGTTATATAATAGAGATCAGATTGCCATCAACGTAAATTCAGGCAAACGAGAAACACCAGTGGAAGGCACCCCTCCTTATTACTCCGCTCTTTACATACAATGCTGGGATGGAGATCCTGAGAAACGACCAGATATAAAATCCGTTATTAATACATTGGATAAATATTTATCCACAAAAAATGTTGAATTACTGTCTTATGATATCGGTAGCAATAACAATAGCAATAACAATAGTAATCAGAGCAAAATCAGCGAAGTCAGCGCTGCTAGTGCAAACAATGAGCTCGTCTTACCTGACAACAGTATATTGGATAGTGGAGCATTTAATAGCAAAGGAGATGAAGTAATGATAAATGATAATGCGAACGGCAATGTGACTTCCGAAGAGAATAGTGAGGTGAATAAAAAAATGGTGAATGATAAAGTGGATAATAAAGTGGATAATGAGATGGTGAATAACGCGATTAATGAGACGGTGAATAATAACGTGATTAATGAGACGGTGAATAATAACGTGATTAATGAGACGGTGATTAATAATGCGATTAATGAGACGGTGAATAATAACGCGATTAATGAGACGGTGAATAACAACGCGATTAATGAGACGGTGAATAACAACGCGATTAATGAAGAAGGTAGCAAAATAATAAACCAAAGCCACTTTTCGTTGATTTCAAAGTGGATTGATGGAGACTATTCTGAAGGAGACCATTCTGAAGAAGATAATTCAACTATTTCACATCAGTATCAATTTAAATTACTTATCAGAGGAAGTAATGATGGATTCAAAGCATCAGAAAAGTTGTAACTAAACTGTACTAAATACTGAATTTATTTTTTATATGCATAGTACGCGCATTGTAACACGATTAGTCTCATGACTTACATAAAACTAATACTGTAATGAATACA